CCCCCCCCCCCCCCAGGTTTGGGGGGTTTTTTTATGTTATGTGGGCTTGAGTGAAATGCAGCACTTGAGACAGGAACAGTGATAAGAGAGTTCCTGACAATCCTTGCAGCTTTTGGGTGTCGGAAGCCCTGAAAGCCAGACTTCACAAGAGTTCTGGCTGGAGAATACAGGAAAGATGCGGGGTTGGAACTTCGTAGGGCTTTTGCGTTAGGTACACAATTCAACACAGGTCTGCCTGTGGGTAATTCTTAATTTTGGGCTTTGTGCTGTGGTGAGGAGCAATTCTAGCTCTTATCTGGTGCCGCTGTGCTCATCTAGCTCACGGTAAGCAGTTTGCTCCCTGAAATCTGGCCTCCCTTCTGGATTATTGCACCTCGTATGCATAAGGCTTCCACCATAGTTGGGTTTGCCTGAGGGCACTGGTCCAAAGGAGCTCATGTCTGCACTGAACTACTTCCTTCTTGGGGAAGTAATCATGAAACCAACTTAGCAAAGCAAATAGGGCAGGAAGAGCTGCTTACTGGATCAGGCAATAAGGCACGGAGGTGATCCCAGAGGAGGGATGTCAATCGGGGAGGAATGCCAACCAGCAGGAGCACAGAACATCACTCTTCAAACTCTCTTCAGCTTCTTCCTCTGACTTTTTTGTTTTTTTTAAACGCTGTTGCCCTGTTCCGGGCTGGATGAAGACAAGAACAGGAATGGGAGTGAGAATTCAGCCAAGCCCAAGTCAAAGCCAACAAGCCCCGTGCTGTGCAGAGAGACACCTGCAAGGGGGTTTCCCAGGAAGGGAGGCTGGATAAAGGCAGGGCAGGAAAGCGCCTCACGGGAGTGGTTTTGATGTCTTGTTTTCCTCTGGCTCCTCATCATATTACAAACTGTGTGCTGAGAGATTTAAGCAAATTTTCTAAATGTCAGGGGTGACGAAATACCGAGCGGGTCAGTTTTTCTTTTCTTTTGTTGTGCTCAGACCAGATCTTTGGTTGCTAATCGCAGTTTACAATATTTGTGTTGGCCCAGCCTGCTCGAAGGAGTGTTTAACCAGCCTCTGGCTGGCTTGTGCTGAGGGGTGGCTGAACAGCACCTCGTGGAGTGCCTTCCCAAGTGCCTTTCCAAAGCATTTGCAGTCTGTTTTCCTTTGTCAATGAAAATGTTTGCACCCCATCTACCATCTGACTGAACGAGGCCAGTTGGATGCAAGTTGGTCTTGGTGCATCAGCATCTGCTAACACTTAAGTGAGTATGGAGCAAATCTATGTGATCTCCAGTTTTCGGTTTCGCTCAGTTTTCTGTATTTGTGTGTTATTGCAATTATATATATGTATTTTTTTCCCCAGATGGCTCTCCAGCCACCTGAGTTTATAGCCCAAGATTTTTTCTCTGGGTCTGTCACCGCAAACTGGCAGGTAAAACTTTCTAAGACTCTAAAGTTCTGAAAAGCAGGGTGCACCGGGGATCGTTCCTCCTGTTGTGCGCACCGAGTGCTGTTGTCAAATTAAATTCATACACAACAGGTATACATATGCTGATGTTTTCTTGGAATTATGTTGAATACTCATTACATTTCTGAGAATTCATTTACATATTATAATAAGCTTTGGGGCAAGTGTAGTCGTGCCTTCTGGTGGTCCTCATTTTGAGTGAGGGTTCTTCATCTTCTTCACCTGCCCTTTGGCTCATTTTTCATGTTGGCAAAACATTCTAGCTGCTTAATTACTCATTAAAACTAATGACCTCTCTGCTACCACCTGTTTGTCAGACAATGTCCATATTTATTGCATCCCTGTCTTTGGTCACCATGTTCTCAGGGCCACAGACATCCTTTCTTATCTTACTAAGACTTTGAAACCATTTGGGATGGTTGCTAAAATAGCTACGTTTCTCCTTAAAAGAAGATTCTCTACAGTTTAACCATTTATAAACTACATAAGACCTGTCTTAGGTCAGCACTAGCGTGTCTGGTACGTGTTACAATCATGGGCCTGGCCAAGCCTCGCTCAGTTCTGGCCTCAGGTGTGTTGGGATGGCAGTTTGTGGTGGCACAATGGGAACTCGTTTAGTACTGAAGGCCAAGGAAGAGATGGGATCTCTGCTTTTGGGAGAGTTGGGTTGAGCTCTGTAAAGTTACTGATCTTAGGCCCTTCTCTCTGTCTTGCCCTGCTCTCTTCTGAGAGGAGGGTTCACAGCAATACATACTGAATTGCCTGTCCAAGGCTAATCAAGATAGAATTTTGCCCAATCTCAGATTTTAGAAAGGGAAAACTCACAGCATCACAGAATGATATGGGGTTGGAAGGGACCTCTGGAGATCATCTAGTCCAACCCCCTGCCAGAGCAGGGCCACCAAGAGCAGGTCCCCCAGGAACGTGTCCAGGTGGGGTTTGAATGTCTCCAGAGAAGGAGACTCCACCACCTCCCTGGGCAGCCTCTGCCAGGGCTCTGCCACCCTCCCAGGAAAGTTCCTCCTCATGTTTAGGTGGAACTTCCTTTGTTCAAGTTTGTGCCCATTTCCTCTTGTCCTGTCCCTGGGCACCACTGAAAGAAGACCCGCCCCATCTTCGTGATACCCTCCCTTTAAGTATTTATAGGTGTTGAGATCCACCCTCACAGGAAAGTTCCTCCTCATGTTTAGGTGGAACTTCCTTTGTTCAAGTTTGTGCCCATTTCCTCTTGTCCTGTCCCTGGGCACCACTGAAAGAAGACCAGCCCCATCTTCGTGATACCCTCCCTTTAAGTATTTATAGGTGTTGAGATCCACCCACAGTCTTTTCTTC